CACACACACACACACACACACACACACACACACACACACACACACACAGCATGACACTAACAATCTCTACTACTGCTAATAGAGGTCGAGCGTCTCTTGAGGGCCCAAAGTGGCCCTTCAGCAAGACTGGATGAGCCAAACGTGTCTCCCTCTGGGGGCCGTCCTGTTTTCTCTCTGTCTCAGTGCAAACGGAGATGCTTCAATATTACTCAGCAAACAGAAACTGTCTCAGGTGGAGTAAAGGGATGTCTTTCATGCCTGAGATTATCATCTTATGTTGAGCAATGAGGGACTTTAACCATTTTAGATGAGACTGGAAAATATTGTGCACGATATCATGAGTTACTGCGAGACGTCACGCTCAGAGTGAGTGTTGCGAGCTAAAAATTTCACCTCAATATCTGTTAAAATGCCTGACAGAGGACATTTGTGCAAAACGACGACACAACTCCAGCAAAGTGAAACTGCTCCCTCAGGCAAACACTTAAAACATGATGGAGTCGATTTCAACACTCAAAATGTTTTTCTTTAACATAGGCAGACTCGGAGCTCTGCTGCCGGTGTGAAAAACCGGCCGTGCATTTTCTAACGAGCGTTATTTTTCTAGCCTTTCAGTCCCGATGCATATCTGAACCAAGCTGAGATGAATTTTTACACAGAAAGTTACAAAACAAAAGGTTTCTCACACAAATTCCAACAGTTTTTTTGTGTGTTTTTTGGCTGGATAAAAATACTACCATAAAAAAAGACGTGCTTTACTTTAATTCTTTCCACCTGTCTGAGCTTGCATGTGTGCTCTGAAACATCGACGACAGAATGAAGACCTCCCAGCTGCGTGCACGCCGAGATTAAAGGCGATCAAACACGCACAGCTGAGCTGAGAAACAGCCTCTCTGTGCTGAGTCGGCCCTTTTCTCCAATAATCTGATGTTAGAAGTTAGGCAACACATTTAAAGAAAATATAGAACAACATTCCCAAAAAAGGGATTTCTAAACTCCAATTATTTTATTTATTTTTTTAGCTCAGCGCTGACAACAGAAGCACCACACCAGGCAGAGAGCTCCCTCCTGTGTTTGGATGAAGCACAATGCTTAACTGGATGCAGACGTTTCCTGGAATCCTGCCAGGGTTTAGAGTTTTTCAGAGGACACAGAACACACAAAAAAAGGCATCAAGAACATTCAAATATATACTCACTTGTGCCTGTACTGCCAGGTGAAAAGCACCTTTTTTGAAGGGCAGCAGGTCGCCGTTCTGGTTACGAGTTCCCTCTGGGAAGACCCACAGCCGGATCTAAAGAGGCGGGGAAATAATGAAACCAGAATCATCACCAGAATCCATCAATGTAAAGAAGTGGCTCATTTCAACTGAATGGTTTGGTTACCTGCTCGTCCAGCATGGTTTTAGCAGCATCGGCCATGATACTCTTGGCGTCACTCGTCTTCTTACGGTTGATGAAAACGATGCCGCCCAGCCAGCAGATGAGGCCTACCGTCCCAGCGTAAACCAGTTCCTTCTTGGCAATTGTGGTACAGCGGTCGGGTAAAACCTCCATCAGGCCTGGGAAATGCCATACAAGAAGTAAAGCTTTTAAAAACACACTGTCATTTAACTCTAACATGAGAAAATAATCCATTAATACCAAAACCTAACCTCACACATTTTATAGTAATTCATGTTTGACTGAAAAGAGTTTGTGATCATATACACATGTGAACATTATTGATGGTATCCTTCGGTTAATGACTGAAAAGCCCACAATGGTCACTGAAATTACTTGAAACTGACAAAAGTAATTAATAAATTTCAAATTTCGAACAGTGATTTAAAAATGTTGTTCAACAGAATTATTTTGAAACAAACTAATAAAAACAGGCCTGGACAAAAATGATGGTACCTGTAACTTGTAATATGGGATTAGAGGACCAGCGTTTCAATGGATATTTAGTTATTTGGAAAATAGGAAACAGTTTGTACAAGTACATGATGCTAGATCTGAACTATGTGGAATTACGTGTGGAGTTCCTCAGGGTTCTCTACTTGGACCAAAGTTGTTTATCTTGTATGTGAATGACTTGGTTAATGTGTCAGGGCTCTTTAAATGTGTTTTATTTGCAGATGATACCACCATTTTTTGTTCGGGAAAAGACATAGAACGGATGTTGGAGAAAATGCAAACAGAATTTGTGAAAATACATAATTGATTAAAACTTAAATTATCACTCAATTTGGATAAAACTAATTATATGATTTTACAATGAGCAAAAAAAACTTATTCCATTTAGAGTTGATGGTGTGGAGATTAGTAGAGTCAGTGAGGTGAAGTTTCTGGGTGTTATTATTGATGAGAAACTGACGTGGAGAGCTCATGTTAATTACTTAAGAAATAAACTAGCTAAATCTGTTGCATTGCTTTATAAAGTAAGATACTTTTTTAATGATAAAGCTCTGTATATGTTATATAACATTAATTGTTCCACACTTGGTCTATTGTGTTGAGGTATGGGGTAAAGCATGTAAGACTATTATAAGTCCTGTTTTTGTTTTGCAGAAAAGAGCTATAAGAGTTTTCACTCGAAAACATTACTATTATCCATCTAATATATAATTCTGTAAACTGAAACTATCGAAATTTTATGATTTGGTTGATTACAATATTTTGTTAGTTATGTATAAGGCTCACCTTAACATCCAGAAAAACTTTGCAAAGAGAGTGAGCTGTTATAATCTTAAGGGGACAGAGATGTTCATGAAACCTAAATTTAGAACCTGTTTGGAAGAACGGTGCACCTCAATCCAAGGAATCAGATTGTGGAATGTTCTGGAAAATGATGTGAAAAGTGCCAGATCAAAGTACATGTTCAAGAGAATGATAAAGGTTAGATTGTTGAAAAAAATATTAAACTGTATAATGTCTAAACATATAATTTGTTGTTCTTGAATGATTTGATGTTCGTGTTTTGTTTTGTTAACTGAGGATTATTGTCGTTTGAATTTATACTTGAGGAAAAAGGGGGCAGATATGAGAAGGGGTTATCTGGGGAATCAAAGTGGGCGTGTCACAAGAGTGGGCGTGTCWAAAGCATAAACACTGTGGGCTACGAGGCCTACAAGACGGTATCCTTAGATCCTGCTTGACCTCTTTACAGCCTGACCCTGACCCCAACACTAAGGTTAACCAGGAGAAATGTGACCCAAGTAGGGGTCTCCAGAAAAAGTGGTGCCGTACAGTAACGTCCCTTTTGTTCTTGTCCAATGAGGTGGTGCCGTACGGTATCGCCCCTTTTTTGCTTGTCCAGTAAGTGTGTCCCTTTAACAAAGTCCGTCAAATCAGGTGTGCCGCTTTAGAATCGCCTTTCCTTGTGACACGCCCACTCGTTCGCACTCGTCCGCAGAGACCCCTACTTGGCAGATACAAGATTTTGTTCTTCTCTCTGCTTCCCTTCATTTCGTTGTGTTGTATTTTTATTTTTATTGTGTATAAAATTTTGTTTTTTAATAAAATGAATAAATTTATGAATGAATGAATGAATGAACTTTATATTTTGCAGTGTAACCTTTTGAGGAACAAAAGTCTAAAGTTTTATGTTGGTTCAAATAATTCACCTCAGTATTTCATTGAAAACCTAATTCCTTGTAATTTAGAATTAATCCTGTAAAAATCTGAGAAAGGCACAGCCTGACCTTGTTTTTCCTATGTATGTGCAGTGTTTACCAGATGACTGAAATTGCCTTGACTAAATATCTCTAAGTCCACCAGTTACTAACACTAAATCCAAGGCCTTATACTAACTACGAACAAGCCTCTCAACAGACAGACGCCATCTTTTGAGGAAATCACTGTAATCAAATGATTTCTGCCAAACTGTTTGTACCAACTCTTACCACATAATGTACTTAGAAAAAAGAAGAAAAAAAAAACTACAATCTCTTCCCTATAGAGATGTAGATTTTAGATGTGCATCAGTCTCCTAACCATTAGTACATTACTTGCATCTTTTCTTTACTATGAAGTTATATTACGTACATTTAGCTGAATTTGTAGCGTCAATTCAGATTTTGCATCAGTTTAAAAAAATCACATTCAAGGCAATTTACTGTTCTTTAATTCAGTGGTTCCCAAACTTTTTATCTTCTGACCCACAAAATACCCATGGCAAAAACTTGTGACCCCAAATATTACTGGTCTGAGTACACAAACTTTGTTAATAACCTTAAAAACACAGGCTTTTTGACTATCTAAACAGCTTATACACAAATATAAATACTTATTTGTACGTATTTTGTGTTTTTGTAATAATTATAGGGAAAATATTACATCAACAATTATTTTATTACCCTTTAAATTGATTTCGGGAGATTATCCAAGGTGCTTCATGACCCATAATTGGGTCCCAAGCCCAACTTAGGGAACCAAAGTGCAGTGGTTCCCAAACTTTTCAGCTTTTGACCCACAAAATAACAGTAGCAGAGACCTGTGCCCTCAACTACAGTGGTTTGCAAAAGTATTCATACCCCTTGAACTTTTCCATATTTTGTCACATTACAACCACAATCATAAATATATTTCACT